TAGATGAATTCTAGATAGGGAAGAGGGGTGGGAGGGAAAGGGAGGGGGCAGGCGATTAGCAAGAGCAGTAGAATATGATGGACATCATTATCCAAAGTACATGTATGAAGGCTCGAATTGTGTGTCAACATCCTTTATATATAAACAGAGATATGAAAAATTGTGGTATATATGTGTAATAAGAATTGTAATGCAAAAAAAACAAAGTACATGTATGAAGGCTCGAATTGGCGTGAACATACTCTATATACAATGATATGAAAAAATGTACTCTATGTGTAATAAGAATTGTAATGCATTCTGATGTTGTATTTAAAAAATAAAATGAATAAAACTAAAAAAAGAAAGAAGAAATCATGGGGAAAATTTAAAAATTTTTGAAAAGAATGAGAATAGATATAAAACATACTAAAATCTCTGGGAGAGTATGAAGGCAGTTTGTAAGGGAAGTTTATAGCACTGAATCCCTACATTAAAAAAAAAAAGAAAATATCCCAAATAAAAAACTGAACATAAAGGCTATAGAAAAGAGGAATAATCTAACACCCAAATCAGCAGAAAATGGGAAATAATATTAGAATGGAAATTAATGAAATTGATAATTAAAAAAAAACATGAAAAGGATCAAAGAATCGAAGAGTTGGTTCTTTGCAAAGATAAACAAGATTGATAAATTTTAGCCAAACAAACCATAAGAAAGAAAGACAAGATACAAATCAACAAAATTAGAGATAAAAATGGAAATATCTCCACAGAAACATCTAAAATTCAGAAGATCATCAGAAACTATTTCTACTCCAATAACCTAGAAATTCTTGAAGGTACTGATAAATTTACAAACATATGACCTACATAATTTGAACCATGAGAACATAGAAAACTTAATCAGATTGATGTCAAACAATGAAATTGAAGCAGCTATAACATCCTTCCAATGAAAAAATTAATCCCAGGACCGGATGGATTCTCAGCCAAGTTCTACTAGACCTTCATAGAACTAATATCAATCCTCTTCAAAGAATTCCATAAAAATAGGAAAAGAGGGAAGACTTTCAAATTCATTGAATAAAGCCAGTATCACATTGGTACCAAACCAGACAAAGATACATAAGGGAAAGGAAACTATAGGCTGATATTCCTGGTGAATATAGGTGAAAAAATCATTAATAAAACACTGGCAAACTGCATTCAAAAACATTAAGATCATGATCAAATGGGTTTCAACCCACGATTGCAAGGTTGGTTTAACATAGGCAAATCAAAAAATGTAATTTGGGGCTGGTGATGTGGCTCAAGCGGTAGTGCGCTTGCCTGGCATGCATGCGGCCAGTTGATCCTCAGCACCACATACTAACAAAGATGTTGTGTCTGCCGAAAACTAAGAAATAAATATTTTTTTAAAAATTCACTCTCTCTCTCTCTCTCCCCCCCTCCCTCTCCCTCTCTCTCTCTCTCTCTCTCTCTCTCTCTCTCTCTCTCTCTCTCTCTCTCATCTATCTCTTAAAAAATGTAATTCACCATATAAACAGAGTTAAGGCAAGAATCACATGGTTGTCTCAATGGATAAAGAAAAAGCATTTGACAAACTTCATCACACATTCATGATTAAAACTCTAGAGAAAGTATGGATGGAAGGAAACTACTTCAACATTGTAAATGATATATATGACAAACCAAAGACCATCCTATACTAAACAGAGAAAAACTGAATTTCCATAAAAAACAAGAACAATATAAGGATGGGGGTATTTTTTTTTATATTCTTGATGTTAATACTCCGTTAGATGACTATATGGCAAAGATGCTCTCCAATTTTGTAGGCTTTCTCTTCAATCTATTGGTTGTTCCATTTGCTGTTAAAAACTTTTTAATTTTAAATATTATCACCTGTCAGTTCTTGCCATTATTTCCTGAGCTATTTAAGTCCTGTCTAGGTTATCTTTGCCTATACCTATATCTTGAAGTGTTTTGTCCACGTTGTCCTCTAGTTGTTTCAAAGTTCCAGGCCCTACATTAAGGTATTTGAGTCATTTTGGTTGAACTTTAGTTGACTTTTGTAAAGTAAGTTGATTTTTGTACAGCATAAGTGATAAGGTCTAGTTTAAATATTCTGTGATTTAAATTCAATTATCCTATTACCATTCACTGAAGAGGCTGTATTTTTTAAAAATGTATTGACTAGTTTGCTGAGAATCCAATGGTTGCACATATTTAGGTTTATTCTTTGGTCTTCTATTCCACTGGTGTATGTATCCATTTTCATGCCAATACCATGTTTTTATATATTACAATGTCACATTAATACAATTTGAAGTTGGGTATTGCAATTCTTCCAGCACTGTTTTTGCTCAGAATTGCTTTGGCAATTTGTAGTCTTTTATCCTTTCATATAAATTTTTGAGTGCTTTTTTTAGTGATATGAAGAATTGCATTGGCATCCCAATTTCATTGAATCTGTAGATTGATTATTATATTTTTTATTTTATTATTTTTTTTATTTTATTATTATTATTTTAATAATAATAATTTCTCCAATCCTTAAACATGGGAAGTCTTTTAACCTGTTATTGTCTTCTTCAATTTCTTTCTTCAGTGATTTATATCTTTTATTGTAGAGGTCTTTCACTTCCCTAATTAAGGTCATTTATATAGGTTTGTTTGCTTTCTTGTTTGTTTAGTAATTTTTTAAGAGTGTCTTTCTTTCTCTGCTACCCAGCCTAGTCTTGAATTTGTGGATCCTAGTGATCCACCTGCCTCAGTTTTGTGAAAACTTTTATTTTTTAAAATATTTTTTTTTTAGTTTTCAATGGACCTTTATTTTATTTATTTTTATGTGGTGCTGAGAATCAAACCCAGTGCCTCACACATGCTAGGCAAGTACTCTACAACTGAGCCCCAATTCCAGCCCTTGTAAATACTTTTGACCACAGCAACACACTGCCCAAAAATATTTTGATGAAGGACTGGCAATATCACTAATCATGTGTACCCTCTGCAGGGGTTATTTTTCTCTTATTTCTCCTATTTTGCTTACCTCATCTCATTAAATTATTCATCTTACTCTCCCACAATCTAGACTACTAACTTCCTGATAACTATATAAAATCATGGTCCATTTTTGCAGTATTCACAACTCCTGAAACTGTTTTCAATAGTCTAAAGTTAATGAATAAGAAAATTAAGGAAGTAATGCATACCTGTTGAACATTGGCTTGAAGGAGATCTCCAAGATGCCTGACTAAGTCGGAGAAGTTGGGCCTCTTTGTGTAATCACTATGCCAGCAGTCAAGCATGGTCTGGTAGCTATAGATTGGGAAAAATGTTAAGGTAGTCTCCATCCACCAGCTCTACTTCTTTTATAACTTTTTACATGGGTGATCCATTAAGACTTGTCTTCACAATTACCCCAAAGCACATTCTCTGCTGTGGCCTTATACTACAGTTACTAATAAAGCCTGCCTAACCCATACCTGTTCCTTACATATATGTGCCCACCATTACCACTTTTTTCAGCTCTGTATGCATAAATAAATGTAAAGAATCAATTATATTTAGGAGAGAAAGGTAGCATTTAGTTCTGTCACGTACTCCTTTATCAGTACAAGAATTGTATGAGTGGTGAGAGCATTGCATTTTATGAGGCTAACTATCAACAAATTCTCTTAGACTTTGGGCTCTCCTCAGGATCAATTTTTGGCTTCAAGTAGCATTAGACAGCCTTGGGAAATGATATAAAAACCTCCAGTTTTATATATTTTAGTGCAAATACTGGAGTCCCAGACTATACTTTCCAATGGTTTTGATAAATAAGCCATCAACTAAGTAATGGTTGCAGTTTCACATTGAAATTACTCTTCAATGAAAACCAAAGTATTTTTATATATATGCACAACTTTCTGGAGTGATGGTTCTTTCCATTTGCTTTTAGAACATCTTTTTAATTATGATGGATAACATCATTTTGATTATAATGGTTTTATAATCACATATAAGAATTGGATTCATTATGCCATATTTGTACATACACATAACATAATTTGATGAATCACATTCCCCAGTATCTTTACTTTCCCTCTCTTATCTTACCAAAATCAATTTGCTCTACTCTATTGATCTTCATTCTATTATTATTATTATTTGATTTAGTATACTATAATTATATATAATGGGATTCGTTATGGTATTTTCATTCATATATTTACATAGCATCATGTGATAGATTGGATTACCACTGATTTAAGGTATTTAGATTTATTTATTGGGCCAGTGAGAGATTCTGGAGATTCTTGAAATTCACTCTCAGACTTTATTTCTCCAGATTGTTTCAATTTGTGTGGACATATCTTCTTTCAGTGCCCAGTACAGGCTGTGTCAGGAAATCACACATCTGGGCTGCAATTTTTTATTTAACAGCTGAAACATAGACTTCTATGTTTTAAATCTATGGCTAGAAAGGAACTAGCCAGTGTCCTGGTTTTATCTAATTCCTGAGTGTTTCATAATACAAATGTGATGAATATTTCACTATATGCATCTATATATGAAATTTTAATCATCTATTTCATAGTTCCCTTTGAATTATAACTATATACTTTAAGAGAGCAAAAGACAACTTTAGCATTCAACAAGATTTTTTAAGTTGAATTTTATAACCCGCTGTGCTTATGTTGATCCTTTCCTCTCAAATTAATTAAGTCTGGTGGCTCTTCATTTGTAGAACATACATTTCAGGAGTAGAATATTCAGGGGATCTCATTCTTGTTCCCTCCTTAAGCTGACGGCAGAAGTCCTCATCTACTTGCATTCCTGGGTATGGTGAAGCTCCTGGAATAGAAGAAAAGACACATATTTTCCCATGGGTGAGCAATCTATCAAGTTCTTATGACTAAAATACCTAAAGAGAACTCTGGGAATGAACAAATAGCTCTGTATCTATGTAGAACATGAGACACAGGACTTCCAAATCTTGGCTGATATCTCTGTTTGAAGGTCTGACAGAAAGTATTTACCCAGAAAATTCTAATCAAAATTGCACTGATATGATAGGTGGAGGATTTAAAAAAACTAATGATTGATTTTCATTGACTTCACATTTATTAATGCTTTTAATTGACATATTCAGCCATAACTCTTATGTTTAGTCCAAGAAGTCCCACTATTTGAAGTCTCTGAAAGCTGTTCTCTTATTAATTTTTAACCTGCCATGCTCCTATGACTAAGGCATAAAGAAAAACAAGGGAGTAGAATTCTAGTCAGTGTGTGGAGGTATGTCTCCAATTTGAGAAATATAGTCCTAGTAGCATGGAAACCCAAAAGAGAAATAAGGTCTGAAAGTGAATTTCAAGTTGATAAAATGAAAACTTATTTACAAAATATTATGGGTAATAGTTAACTAAAGTACATTTTCCAAATTTGAATCATATTTAAAGTAGCTAAGCATATTACAAAATATGTTTTAGAACAAGTTTGTACACTTATGTCAATACATAGTTTCCAAAATCACTACTGATATCTGATACATAATATTGAGTAAATACTGAAACTCTAAAATAGGTGTTCTAGGTCTTCGAGATTAAAGGTGGTATCAATATTGCCAAAATTTTATTTAAATAAACATTTGAAAATCCAAGGTGATTTGGTCATTTATACACCCCAAAAGTTTCCCAAAAAATGTTCCTGGTAGTTAAGAAATATAAATCAGAAGTGACAAAGAAAAAGCCAAAGATAAAATCAAGACTAATTCTAATAAACTATCAGATTATCAAATAGAATACACTTGGAGATGAGGAGAAATTACATCAATCATCTAGCATCAACCTTCTAACTTTCAAGAAGTATGCTATAGAAACCTGATCAGTTAGCTAATTCAAGGCAACCTGTAAGATACTCTTAATTTTAGTTACTTCTCCATTGTTGCCTGAAATGACTTATTTGGTTAGTTATACTCTTGTTATATTTTAGGCATTATAGATAATAAGCACATGTCATCATCAAGGAACAATTATTTCCAACCTGTGTGTCACACAAAACCTGAGAGATTGGAGTTATAAGAATGGATCTTCATATGCTTGGGACCAATAGCTAAAATAATTAATGTATCACGAGTGATAATTATTTTCTAAATCATGAAAACTGATAAAATTCACAAAAGAAAATCTATTTTTTCAATTTCCTTAATTCATAATAGCTTTCTCTAATGCATACTTTCTTAACAAAGACATGCTAAGACTAAGTATCTTGATATTATAAATGTGTAATTCATTTCCTAATTTACCTGATGTAAGTAGAAAGGTTAAAATAACATATATCAGAGTTTCCTAAGTAAATTTGTTGTAATCTCCAGAACATTTTAGAGCAGAATATTTGCTATTCACTCTGTGGAAAATATTAGGAGTCTTTGCAAGATAGATGGTAAAGAATCATCCCTTTTAGATGTGCATTGTGTGTCACTTCAAAGAGCAGAAACATTACCTTTTGGTGTTTATGCCATAAGAATATATTGTATATATAGTACTGGCCTTATCCTTAGGTTCACTTTGGACAGATATATATCTTTGTATGATCTGAGTATTAATAATTGACCTGTTCCTCCCCAGGAACTATATCCTAGATTACAATTTTCAGTTATGCAAATATCTTTTTAAGAATCCATCACCTAGCTGGGCATGGTGGCACATGTCAATAATCCCTGCAGCTCAGGAGGCTGAGGCAGGAGGATGGTGAGTTCAAAGCCAGACCCAGCAATGATGAGGCACTAAGCAGCAGTGAGACCCTGTCTCTAAATAAAATACAAAATAGGGCTAGGGATATGGCTCAGTGGTTGAGTGCCTCTGAATTCAATCTCCTCTCCAGTACCAAATAAACAACAACAACAAAAATCACCTAACTACCATTCTACTTTGTGCTTTAACTTACACTGTCTCCTGAAATTCTTTAATTTCTTTAATCTCTACCTTTCCCAGAAACGACTCCTCCAAACTTCATATGTATCTTCCTATCCTTAAACGTCCAATTCCACTTGTTCATTCTTTTATTTACTTATTTATTTTTTAGTTGTCAATGGATTTTTTTACTTTATTTATTTATGTGGTGCTGAAGATCAAACCCAGTGCCTCACACATGGTTGTGGCTCTACCACTGAGCCACAGCTGCAGGCAACTTGCTCATTCTTTTTAAGAGAGTTTTCAGATGTCATTTTTCCTCAAGAAGTAGAAACTCACCTCATCCTCCATAATTTCTCTTGCATTTTACTGAAATCTCTATTATAGGACTTGTCACAGAATTAATTGGCTGTATTTTTTCCAAATTACCTGTAAGTCCTAGAGGATAAGGAACAGTCTTATCCTACAGTGATTTTAATGTGAAAGTCACACAGCAAATGTTTGTTGAATTAAATTATAAATCTAATGAAATAAACTTCTAAAGTATTTATATATTTTTTTTTAATTTTTAATATTTATTTTTCAGTTTTCGGCGGACACAACATCTTTGTTTGTATGTGGTGCTGAGGATCGAACCCGGGCCGCACGCATGCCAGGCGAGCACGCCACCGCTTGAGCCACATCCCCAGCCCTAAAGTATTTAATAAGTATACATTTCTTTATCCTATTTTTAAATAAATACATGACAAATGATGATGTTAAATGAACATTAAACACATAGAAACAATATTCTACATTATTCTGATGTTTGAATTTTAGCAGTTACCATCAAAAGAGACATTTCATATGTAAAACCTATTGCCTGGACTTTCATTATGTTAATCACTGGGCTTGGCTTTTGAATGAAGACTATATCAAGAAAAATAACATTAATAGTTATAAATTTAACTATTATTTCTCAAAACCCATGTACATAAAAATTGTTAGTGTCTTTTGTGGGCCAAAGATGTTGTGGTTATTTGGTAAGCCTACCTACTCAAAAGAGGGCCTACATGCTTTCTATTGGGGTCAACCCTTGTCACTTGATATTCTTTAAGGTGTTTTTTTCAGCCAGTGGATACAAGTTCAGCCGTGAGGTACAACTACAGCATAAATACTGCTTAGTGTCAAATTGGAACTTTCATGTATATCTTTCTGCTACTCTGAGATCTACAATGAGATTGAATATACCAGATGCTCAAAGGAGAGCCCACCTATGGGCCTGTTATCCTTCTAGGATCAATACAAGTTCTCTGCTATTTCTGCTATTCCAGAAGCAGAAAGATAAACCACATTCACCAGTAAATTATATAGGGAAGCACTGCTGGTTCTGGCATCACTTTATTTCCCATATAAGCCTTTCCATATTTGATGGTAGATCTAGGAAAAAGAATCTAGGAGACAGATTAAAGTAAAAGAGAATTGGAATGACAGAGAATATAGTTCTAATGACTTCAGAAACAGGCCTCCCAAAAACTCAATATCCCTAGATATTCTAGGAAAAACTGTACTTTGGAGAGAAGTACCAGTTAAAAGCTCCAATTTTTTAATTGGCACATGGACAAAGATAATATCTTAGGAAACACTCATAATTCCTCCTGCAAGGCTAGAGAACAGATATACTAAGAAAGCTAGGGAATTGAGGTCCAACAACAACTTGTGAGTCAGTGAGAAAATATATTGGGATGTGATAACTTACATAAAATTTTTGTAAATTGTCTTACTCTGTGGAATGCAATGGAAATATAAGGCTCTATTTTAACTTAAAGGGATGATAAGATTAATGATAGTATAAGTGGTTTTTACTTATCATGTAAATTTAAATATAAGACAGCAGCCAACAGATACTTGACCCTTCAAAACAATTCATTTTTGCTATATTTTAAAATCTCAGCTATAGTCAGTGAGTATCTTATGTACTGTAATTTAAAAGTGTAAGTCACAAAATGGGGTTTGGACAATTTATTTAAGGAAACAAGTGAAAATTCAGAAATTAATATATTCATACTCCTCAATGTGATATTTTGATAAATTACATTATGAAATGATTAAATTACTCTAATAAACATAAACATTAAACTATAAGCTAGTCAGCCTTTTGTCACTGTGACCAAAGTATCTGATAGGACAACTTTCTTTTGGAGGTTCAGTGCGTGGTTGGCTGATTCCATTGTTCTAGGAATAAGGTGAGGCAGAACATCCTGGTAGCAGGGCAGGCAGAAGAATGCTGCTCACATGAAGGTAGCCAGGAAGTAGAGAGGTAAAGCCAGGGGACAAGATATAACTCCCAATACTATACCTCTAGAAACCTATTTCCTCTAGCTATGTCCCATCTGCCTATAGTTATCACCCAGTACAGTAATCTTTTGAACTTATCCATCATTTGAATGTATCCACTGAATAGGTTATAGCTCTCATAATCTAATTATTTCACCTCTGAACATTCCTTCATTGACTATCACATGAGTTTATTAGTGGATACCTTATATCCAAACCATAACAAACTTTTATCTTTTTTTGTTAGTGGAATGTTTAGTATATGGTTTCTTAGGCATTTTAAAATAAAAATAAGATTGTTATAACTATAGCCCACACAATACAAAATATTTCTAGAATATTAATTTCCCAACACAATACATATTAATGTCAAACAGATATTGCAATCAATGTTCTTCCTTACTAAATGTCATTGAGATTTTTTTAGCATTAGATAAACATCTCTCCAGTAACCATACACCAACATTCTACTCTCTGTTTTTATAAATCTGACTTTTTTAGAATATACATATAAGTGAGATCATTCATAAGTTTTCTGACAGTCTTCTTTCATTTACTGTCATGTTATCCAATTTCATCCCTGTAATTACAAATGGCTGGATTTCATTTTTAAAGGCTGGATAGTAT